ATAGATAGATAGATAGATAGATAGATAGATAGATAGATAGATAGATAGATAGATAGATAGATAGATAGATAGATAGTCACAGCAGTTTGCCCTTCTAAGCCTGGAAGAATAAGAGCTATCTACAACAGGTAAGATGATAACTGTTCACAACCTTTCCACAGAACTTTACTTCAAAAGATCTAAACCATCCCTTTAAGGCATTTTTGCATCTAAATTTTAAACTTCAAACATTATTCTGTGGCTTTGGAAGGAAAAAGTGCATTAATTATAGGGGGTTCAAAATAATATGCTGGAGATGTTAGAGAGGGAGAACAGAAGGCACCAGGCTACAAAGAAAAATTTATGAAAAAGTTTCATGATGTAGTAGATTAAGTTTATGTTGTAAAAMCAAAAGGGTAAAGACCTATTCTTACCAGCAGATTTTGTGTTTTAAAAAATCAAAATTATGTGGAGTTAGTGTTGGTCATTGGCTTTGATTTTCTTTAAAAGCTCAGTATGATGGAGTAATAAAAAAATAATAATAACTTACAGTTTCTGTCTTGCCCTGGACTGGTTTCTCAGCTTCAGGCACGACCTGTTTGTCCACTCTTATCATCCGGTTGATGTAGGCAGATGGACAGGTGGTCCTCGGAGGTCTGTCCTCAGAAGGTGGATCTCCCTTGGAGTTTTTGCGGCTCTTACCCGGTAGTAGGTTGTCCCAAATTCTCCCATCTTTCTGAGAGCCCACAGCGGTTCTGTTCAGCAGCTCCGGGCCTGAGTTCTGTCGGTTTCTTCCGGACAGGAGAGACCCAACGCCTCCTCTGTCCGCAGAAGAGTTCTTGGTTCTGTTTGGTCTCGGCTGGGAGCCTGCAGGTTCAGAGCGGATCCTGTCGGTCCCGTTTCTCAGAGTCAGGGGGAACTCCTTGAACCACTTTGCCATTTTACCCGACTTCTCTGCCCGATCCGGGACACCTTTCCAGCCCCCATTCAGCAGGACCCCCAGGGACCCACCTTTAGTAATCACACCGCCTCTCTAACAATGGACTTCCGCTGCTTTATTCTGGCATAGATCCTGTGAAGAAAACATTCACACTTCAGCTCCAGCCTAAAAAAAAAAAAACCTTTCAAATTTGAAAAAAAAAAAAAACT